GTGCATATCTACTGGAGGACTCGACAGGACCCAATAATAGCCCAACTACTTGACTAGTGACACCATAGAAGTGTGTCTACTTCATGTTCTAAACACACTGTTAGCGTTAGTACGCGAGTAATAATAATAACAACAACAATAATGATAATAATAATGATAATAATAATAATAATAATAATAATAATAATAATAATAATAATAATAATAATAATAACCATAAAATTTGTATAGCGCATATCCCCGCTCAACAGCAGTGAGACCTGAACAGCGACCTGAAGGGAATAAAACTTAATTTTTCACATGGCATGTTTCATAAATATTCTCGGAATGAAACTGATGATATAAGATTGTTAGGATCCACCCGAGCTAATGGCGATACAGCAATGTCAGTGAAAAGACAGACATATCAGGTAAAATAACCTGTCCAAGCGGAATCAAACAGTACAAACTTATCTCGATATGCTCCAAAACTAGCCCTTCGTATCATTGCAACTATTTATTCGAGTGGAATCAATTTTCAACGAGATGTAACACCTCCCCGTTGGCATCTGATGGTTCGAGCTTTTTAAAATGAAAACGAGCCCCAGCGATGGATTGGTCGAAAAGGAGCCCAAGACCTTGCTCTCTGTGCCTGGCCTGTCAGATCCCAGACCTCATTGTGTGTGATTTTTTCTGGTGGGGAACTGCTGTCTTTCTCATTTAAGGTGAAGAGCCTAATCAATGCACTGTTGTTTTTGTTGGATTTTTTGTTAGTTGTTTTTTTTTGGGGGGGGGGAGCAGCATTCCGGTCCTTTTTTAGTTTTGGTAAGGGGTTTAAAGCACTTGCAACACAATTATGTTTTATAAGTACCGGGGACTAGAGGTATTACTACTGAGTAAGTTCCTAACATACAAAGAAAAGAAGAAGTAGAGATAGCAAAGACAGATGTTTGATCACAAAAGAGAGCAAACTACACCCGGGCACACACCAGCGACCCACCATTGTATAGTAATAGACGACAGAGCTGCAAAAATGTACGACCCACGCAAATCGTATGCAGAAGAAACCACCTTCTAATGAAAGCCCTGGGAACACATCATTCAGCAGTGTAGGATACATAGGTCACAGGACACGAAGATAGAAGACGTGGCCAATACTAGGCTTTCTTTGTACTAAGATAGAACAGGACCAACCCCACTGACACAACAGCCTGTACAGTACAGGCCGACAGAAGAACTGAGCAGGACGGCCCATTATAATAGATACCGGACTTCAATTGCGATGTGGTGCGAGAAGAAGAAGAAGAAGAAGAAGAAGAAGAAGAAGAAGAAGAAGAAGAAGAAG